AAGTGAGTGTTTAGGAAATGTTAAGAAGCAGAAGACAAACATATGTAAGCATAAGCTTATCTGAAATCCACATTTATAAACTAGAGAGACAACCAAATGTATTTGGTGGTCTGTGGAAAAAATTGTTTTTGCTTTACAGAAGGGAACTTCAGGGGCGCCTGGGTGGCGCAGTCGGTTAAGCGTCCGACTTCAGCCAGGTCACGATCTCGCGGTCCGTGAGTTCGAGCCCCGCGTCAGGCTCGGGCTGATGGCTCAGAGCCTGGAGCCTGTTTCCCATTCTGTGTCTCCCTCTCTCTCTGCCCCTCCCCCGTTCATGCTCTGTCTCTCTCTATCCCAAAAATAAATAAACGTTGAAAAAAAAAATTTTAAAAAAGAAGGGAACTTCAGTGATTCAAGGTGTTCTTACCTAGAGAGAAAACATTAAAATGAATTTTTTCCCTATTAACCAACCCTGTGTAAATATTATGATAGTTTTCATTTGTCTTCAATATTTTGAAATCCCCTTACAAATCTCAAAAAGTCATTAATGTTTGGGGCACGTGGGTGGCTCAGTTGGTTGAGTGACCCACTCTTGATTTCGCCTCAGGTCCTGATCCCAGGATTGTGGGATCGAGCCCCTCATCGGGCTCCATGCAGAGCAGGAAGCCTGCTTAAGATTCACTCTCTCAAGGCACCTGGGTGGCTCAGTTGGTTAAGTGTCCGACTTAGGCTCAGGTCATGCTCGCACTGTCCGTGAGTTCGAGCCCCGTGTTGTGCTGACAGCTCAGAGCCTGGAGCCTGCTTCAGATTCTGTGTCCCTCCTCTCTCCCTGCCCCTCCCCCCACTTGCACTCTGTCTCGTTCTCTCTCAAGAATAAATGTGCAGAGCCAAACCATAAGAGACTCTTAAAAAACTGAGAATAAACTGAGGGTTGATGGGGAGTGGGAGGGAGGGGAAAGTGGGTGATTGGCATTGAGGAGGGCATCTGTTGGGATGAGTACTGGGTGTTGTATGGAAACCAATTTGACAATAAATTTAATATTTAAAAAAAGAATCAATGTGCAAAAAAAAGATTAAAAAAAAAAAGATTCACTCTCTCCCTGGGAATGCAAACTGGTGCAGCCACTCTGGAAAATAGTATAGAGGTTCCTCAATATATATATATATATATATGCACACACACACACACACACACACACACACACACACACACACAATGGAATATTACTTGGTAATCAAAAAGAATGAAATCTTGCCATTTGCAACAACGTGGATGGAACTAGAGTGAAATAAGTCAGAGAAAGATAAATATGATATGATTTCACTCATATGTAGAATTTAAGAAACAAAACAGATGAACACAGGGGAAGGGAAGGAAAAATATGATAAAAGAGAGAGAGGCAAATTATCAGAGACTCTTAAATACAGAGAACAAATTGGGGGTTGCTGGAGGGGAGGTGAGTGGGTGAATGGGCTAAGTGGGTGATGGGCATTAAGGAGGGCACTTGTTGGGATGAGCACTGGGTGTTATATGTAAGTGAGGAATCAGTAAATTCTACTCCTGAAATCATTATTACACTATATGTTAACCAACTTGGATTTAGATAAAATTTAAAAATTAAAAATTAAATAAAAAAAACCGATTCTCTCCCTCTGCTCGTCTCCCCCTCTCTAAAATAAAAAATATATAAAATAAAATTTAAAAGAAGGAATTAAAAAATACAAACAGAAATGAAACAGGGTGCCTTGGTGGCTCAGTCAGTTAAGCGTCCAACTTCGGCTCATATCATGATCTCATGGTCCAGGAGTTTGAGCCCTGTGTCAGGCTCTGTGCTGACAGCTCAGAGCCTGGAGGCTGCTTCACATTCTGTGTCTCCCTCTCTCTCTCTGCCCTCCCCTGCTACTACTCTGTCTCCCTCTCATTCTCAAAAATAAACATTAAAAAAAATTTAATGATAAAATAAAAAATGAAAAACAAATACACTACAAATATTCCTACTATCTGAATCCTGAGTTTCAGATCCTAGATTTAGGTAGGAAATTAAAAAAAAAAAAAAGAACTTATCTAAATCTTTTTGTTCCTGAGTTTGAACTAGCCAAACCAGGAATTTGGATAGCAAAGAAATGATAAAAAAAATTTACTTGAGTTCCTTGTTCCTGAGTTTGGATAGCAAGGCTTGCCTTGAATATTTTTCTCCACACATATACACAATGATGTTAGAATCACTCATATCTATCAGAAATAATATGCATCATGCTCTACTTTTCTCTCTTCCTTACCCTCTAAATCCAGTCAATAAACTCCTGCAAGGTTGTATCTCCTAACTCAAATCTATTTTTCTCCATCATTCTCAATGTCTTAATGGTTTCCCTGCAAATCATGTTACTCTTCAGTCCATTCTTTACACTGTAACCAGACAAAATATTCTCAAAATTCTCATCATGGCTCTGTCCCATTTATCATCCTTCAGTGGCTCATCATTGCCCTTAGGATCATGGCTCTGTCTCCAGAGCTTCAACCCATGTCTTTTCCTGCTACTCCCACTCTATTCCAAGCACATTAAACTATTGCACTCATCTTTTCCAAAAAGAGCCGCCCTCCTCTTATCTCCAGGGCTTTGTTTATGCTGTCCCTCCTTCCTGGAACATTGTCACACCCCAGCTGTGTGAAGAGCTCCTACTTCAGCTCTCAGCCTAAAATGTTACCTTCTTTGGAGAGTCTTTTCCTGATCTCTCTTTCCACCATCCAAAGTATACATAAGAAGTTTCTTCTCTGAATTCCTATTGGACCCCATGCTCACCCTTGGATTGCAGTTTATTCTGTGATGCACCTTATCTATACCCCCTAAACTCAGTAGGAGCATGGTTACTATCACCAGCTCTTAGCACAGTGTCCAGCATGGAGGATATGCTTAATAAATGTTACTGAATAAATGAATAAACATTTTCAATAAAATTAGTATCACCTAGTCCATAAACTCAAATACAAATATATTCACAATGCTTTTATTTTTTGCAAACAATTGGTTAATTACTCATAAGTGCTTTTAGCAGAAAGCCCATTATGTCTCACTGTGGAAAAATCCCCCAAACATTGTCCAGATACCCCAAAGGATAACTTATTCAGTCAATAGTGGGCTCTGTTCTCTTCTTAATTGGAGTCTGATTATTGGCTAATGCCATAGTTTCTCATTAACTCATATCATAAATTTTGGAGACTGGTCCCACTCAATCCAAAAGACAATGCTTGCCCACTGCTTGAGGATGATGCTCTTGCTTGCCTATATCCCTGCTGGGAGGTAAAGCTCTTCCAGGGATGACAAGCTAAGCTTGCCAAGGATGTTCCATATTTGACCCCCAAGGACCCACTTGTAGCAATCAGCTACAGCAGATCACACACAGCCCTGGCAGTGGGGGGGGGGGGGCTGGGGAGGTATTGGGTCAGGATAATAACACCGTATCAAGGTTCCAGAACCCCATTTCTTCATTTCTCTCTGATGAGGACCAATTCCCCCCAAAAGAGGCACTGTTTTGTTTCATTTTGTTTTGTTTTGTTTATATCAAGACAGAGAAAGTCTTGCTATGTCTTTCTCCCAGAACATGCAGAATCCTTACCCTTCCAAGTAAGGCTTCTTTCTGCCAATCTCTATCCTAGACTGCGCTGTGAAAGAAAGGAAAAATACAAATTTGATCTTTAGCAGAGTACTTTTCTGGTGGGACACCCTGGTATGTCAAGAAGGAAGAGACTGGAATAGAAGGACACAGACCTGGTTGGAAGTTTGGAAATCTGAGTATATCCTAACTCTGCAACCAACTAATTGGTATGATGACTTTAGCCTCTCTAGGCCTCAATTTTACCATCTGAAAAAACAAGAGAATCTTTAAGACCCTTTCTAGCTCTTTAGAATTCTATAATTTCAGTATTTTTTAAAATCTATTTTGTTGAGATATAATTTATATATAATAAAATGCACCCATTTTAAGTATATGGTTGTATATGTTTTGATAATTTTATACTACAATCAAGTTATAAAACATTTCTATCAGGGCATCTGGGTGGCTCAGTCTGTTGAGCATTCAACTCCAGATTTTGGCTCAGGTCAAGATTTCATGGTTCCTGAGTTCGAGCCCCGCATTGGGCTCTGCGTAGACAGTGAGGAGCCTGCTTGGGATTCTCTCTCTCTCTCCCCCCCCTCTCTCTGCCCCTCCCCTGCTTGTGCTCTCTATCTCTCTCAATATAAATAAATAAACATTTAAATAAAATAAAATTAAATAAATAAATAAATAAATAAATAAATAAATAAATAAATAAACAAAACATTTCTATCATAGTTCCTTCATGCCCTTTTGTAGTTAATCTCCCTTCCCCTATCCTTAGCCCCAGGCAACCATTGATCTGTTGTCATTATGGTCTTGCCTATTCTAGAATTTCATGTAAATGAAATGATACAGTAAATGCTCTATTTTACTATTTTTTTAAAATTTATTTTTAAGTAATCTCTACATTCATTGTGGGACTCAAACTTACAACCCCAGCCAAGTGGCTGGCTCAGTTGGTGAAGCATGTGATTCTTGATCTTGGGATTGTAGGATCAAGCCCCATGTTGGGTGTAGAGATTACTTAAAAATGAAATCTTAAAAAAATAAAATGGGGCACCTGGTGGCTCAGTCGGTTAAGCATCCAACTTCGGCTTGGGTCGTGATCTCATGGGTCCTGAGTTCAAGCCCCATATTGAGCTGTCTGCTGTCGGCACAGAGCCTGCTTTGGATCCTCTGTCCCCCTCTCTTTCTGCCCTTCCCCTGCACTCTCTCTCTCTCAGAAATAAATAAATTAATGTTTATTAATTAAACATTAAATGTTTATTAATTAAACGCGGGGCTCAAACCCACAAACTGTGAGATCATGGCCTGAGCCGAAGTCAGATGCCCAACCGAATGAGCCACCCAGGTGCCCCCAAACAAATAAGTGTTTTTAAAAAATAAATAAAATAAAATAAAATTGTGGTAAAATATACAGAACAAAAAAAAATAGGGACTGCATCATAAAGTGTGTCATCCTTGCACAGGGGTCATGCTAATCTTCTCTATATAGTTCCAATTTTAATATAGGCACTGCCAAAGCAAGCACAATATGCAAAGACCTCTTGTGTATCTGAGGCTTTTGGGTTTTTTTTTTTTTTTTGCATGACATGTTTTTATTATTTACATCTATTATTGCATATTCGAGATATTTTAAATTGATTTTTAAAGCAAATTATGTTTCTAGACTGGATACATTTTTTAAAATATCTCCATTCATACATTAGAAAGTTAAATAGGGGCACCTGGATGGCTCAGTCAGGTAAGCGTCCAGCTTTGGCCCAGGTCATTGTCTAATGGTTTGTGAATTTGAGCCCCCCCATCAGACTCTCTGCTGTCAGCTCAGAGCCCACTCCCCCGCATGCATGTGCCTACTTTCTCACTTTCAAAAAGAAATAAACATTTTTTAAAAAGTTAAATAAACTTGAGTAATTTCTTGGTGTCTGTTGGTTAAAAAAAAATTTCTGTGTTATTACTTTCAGAATCAATTGATTTCATAAGAATGTAATGGTGATCCATATAAAGATGGTATTGGAGCAGGGCAGCAAGTAATGGCAGCCCAGGACAGCATTGGTAAGGGTGGCAGGGACAACCTGTTGGGGTCAGGAGACAGGCTCATACAGGGAATTGAACAAGTAAGTAAATATATTTCAGATAACAGCAGCCAGATTTCTCACTGACTGAGAAGGAAGATACAAAAACAAAAAAAGAGAAAGTTAGAATGAATCCAGTAGTATTGAACTGGATTTGGAATTATCAATATGAATTAATAGTTTACAATACAGGTGGATAGTGATACAGATAAATATAGAAGTAAAGGTATATACTTATACTTCCTAGCTCTGTCCACAGAGTGAGCCCAGAAGCAGAAACATCCTAATAGAAATGAGCACATCTAGAACCTGATGTTGGTTTCTAAATACTACTATCAAAAGGAACCAGTGTTCCTTGAATAAATAGCTGATTCCAGAGGGGAATAAGGAAAATAGAAGTTGAGCTTAGAACATCTTATGCTAGAAAATATGGGAGTCCTCAAAAAAACAAAACAAAACAAAACAAAACAAAACAAAACAAAACCAAATCCAAAACATGATGGGAACATGTCAAGAAGATATACGATATGGCTTGCAGGGGTTCTCACTGGCCAAATCTGAGATAATTATAATATTATAATAATACTTACACATTGTAACTTACTGAATTAAATAGAATTCATGATATAAGCAAATGAATAAAGTATGGAGAGAAGAGAGAGCTTTTTTTTTTATAGTAGAACAGAATTAGGAAAAAAACCCATTTGACAATTATCATGGTAATAATTAATTCAAGAGAGAATCATCAATGGATTCTAATACCAGTAGATAAAAATGAGATGAGGAATTAGATATTGGTATAGTTTCAAGGTATCTCCACGTGAAATATCTATTAACTTATAAAAGATGCAATGTAACTTCACAACAGAGAAAATTAGAAGACATTATCTTAAGTGATCAAATTTAATACCATCAACAATGTACAAACTGACACTGTGTGCCCCTCAATGGGATATGAGGATTCACTGAATGAATGAATCCAAATATGAAGGGCATTCTACAAAATGACTATGTCTTATAATCTTCAAAAATGTCAAAGGGATTCCTTCTCTGCAGAGGACAGACACTCTCCTTGCAGAAGTTGAGGTGGACCAGAGGGAGTGTTGAGGAGGAGTGGCAGGGTCAGTTTCAGTGCCAGCTTCAGGTAAGGACATAGGGTTGGTGGAGCATTGGGCTCTGGTTGCCCACTGAGAATCGCACCCACCTTCTCATGAAAAATAAAATTTATGTATTTATGTATGTATGTATGTATTTATGATTCAAGGATTCGTTAAGCCATACACGCAAAACATACCGCGAATTGCATTAGCAAAGATCAATGTAAAAAACACTCCACAATTCTGAAACTGTCAATTTAAAAAATTTTGTTCTAGTGGTTGAAAGGCCCACCCTTGTGTTCTTGCCCGTGGGTAAGTTGTATGGAACTTGGTTGGCAGGAGCGGGGGCTTACAGAACCTCACAGACCCAAAGGAACATGGCTAATTAGGCAGAGCAACAGGAAGCCTGTGTGTGTGTATGGGGGAGGCAGGTGGTGAGGCAAGGAGGAGGGTTAGCATTAGTCAAGGTACAGTACTGGTGATCTGGCAAGACAGTGGTGTTAAGAAAGTTCATAGTTTAGGAATATCTAAAATATTTCAAAAACTGTAAAGCTGCAACATATGATTTTTGCACCTAGTTACTAGAAAACTAAGGAAAGTGTTTATTAGCTTTGAATAATGTAACAAGCAAACAGAAATGCACTTTTACTACTCTACAAAAAAAAAAAAGTCTAATGCATTAACAGAAAGATTTTATAATACAAGGAGGCATATCGTTCATTAAGAAGGGGTTCTATAAGAAAGCACTAAGTTAGCAACTATGGGAACAACCAGTTCAAAGATGAGTTAAATACCTGGTTTCAGGAGGGATAGCACATCTAAGAAAAAAAGCTTAAAACACTTCGTGATGATACTGACCTTCCATCATTTACTGCATCTGACAGAAATTAACCTTTTAAGATTTTACCTGTGACACTTTTACTCAGTTTAATTATGACGTGCACAGTGCAGTGTAAATTAACATCCATATTTTGTAAGAATACTGCTTCGTCCTCTGATCATGTCCCGTGCCACATACGCCCACCCCGGTGTGCCCACGGCCACAGCAGACCCTTCATTGAAGGGACACGGGAGTCTGAGGGGGTTCCAAATCTCAGCAAAAGCGAATATACTAACTTAAAAAATTTGTTTTCACTACAAAATAAAAAGGATTGATCCAGAGAGCTGAGTCATTATTCTTATTCCATTAGGACACACAGTACAGTGTTAGGGGGCCGACATGGGCTGTGTTAGGTGGCAAATTTCGTGAAGGAGGCTGTGTGGCTCTCCTGTCAGAGACTAGCAGGTATCTGCATTTCCGAACTTGAGGCACTGCAGTCTCTTCGTAAAGACAAAGGTCTTAAACGGTTTCGTGCTGGGTGTTCTCAGCAAAACAATGCAACTTAGTTCACAAGATTTTGGCAACTCTTACTCTGAGCAAGAATAGGGGCTTTTGACAAATGAGGCTTTAAGAAAACTTGTCATTTTAGGGCTAAATTTTAAAGTTTTAAACTTTAAACAAAACCTAAAAATTACTGATTGGTTCAAAATGGTTTTATGGAAAAACTAACCTGTAACAAAAGTTTGGCATTGAGTGGGAAGTCTCCACCATCTTTGAGCAAAGCCTACAAAGGTTCTGAGGGAGACAGGACAGGAGAGGGGCCCCGACATCTATCCATAAGAGCAGGCATTTATCTCTTCCTCTTCTTGACAGGAGGTGGAGCAGAGAACCGCTGGAAAAGCTTCATCAAACGCTGTCTTTTTTTTTGTTTTTTTACATTTTGAGAGACAGAGTGAGACAAAGTGAGAGTGGGGGAGGGTCAGAGAGAGGGAGACACAGAATCTGAAGCAGGCTCTGAGCCATCAGCACAGAGCCCGATGCGGGGCTCAAACTCACGGACCGCGAGATCATGACCTGAGCCAAAGTCAGACGCTCAACCGACTGAGCCACCCAGGCGCCCCATTCAAACCTTGTCTTGAAGCCTAGTTGCATGAGAACCTAGCACTCCAGATATTTTACAGCATCAATCTCCTTAGCCATGGCCACACCCTGCGGGTAGGTGATGAGAATCAACTTCTTCAGTTTCTCAGTTGTGTCCTTGTTGTCCCTGAGGTCAAGTTTAGTTCCCACCAAGATGATGGCGGCGTTGGGACAGTGGTTTCACAGTTCAGGGTACCACTTTGCTCAAACGTTTTCAAATGATGCAGGATTTTACGAGAGAATACCAAATTAAGAATACATCTGTTTGCGGATAGGATAAGGGACGTCATCTGGCATAATCTTCTTGTCCAGCTGTATCCCATAAGCCCAGAGTCACCGGTTTTCCATCCACCATAACATTGGCAGAGTAGTTGTCAAAGACAGTGGGGATGGATATATTCTCCAGGAAATGCATTGGTTGTGTAACTGAGGGTAAGCACGTTTTACCTACAGCGCCGTCTCCCACCAGCACACACTTAATGGCCTGCATCTGGGCCGCTCGCTGGGACGCAGAAGGTGGGCAGGCACGGCTGCGGGCGGACAGGGAGCCGGGTGCTGGGGGGGGGGGGGGGGTGGAGGCTGCTGTCCACACCACCTGGCTCTCCGCCAACCGGAAGCCGGAGCCCAGCAGCTCCCCACCCAAAGCTGGGGAAGACTGTGGAAAGACAGGAAAATCAAAAAAGAATTTTTTTTAAATGTCAAGATCATGAAACCCAAAGACTCAGAAACCGTCCCAGATTGCAAAAACCTGGAGAGACATGACAACTAGGTGCAAGGCATGATCCCAGATCCTTTACAGGTAATATAAAGGACATAATTGGGACAGTTCACAAAACTTGAATGCGATCTGTGTGTGTGTGTGTGTGTGTGTGTGTGTGTGTATAGAGGAATTCTCTGTACTCTTGAAACTTTTCTGTAAGTTGGCAATTGTTTCAAAATAAAATATTTTTTTTAAAAGATAAAATCAATCGGTTTTAGAAATCTTTTTTTTTTAAGGTATTTACTAGCTTGGCCAGAATCCTTGGATATGTTAAGATGAATTTGCTTGCAAGTAAAAGAAAATCAACTCAACTGTCTGAAACAATAAAATGCATTTTCTCACAAATGTCCAGATAGTTTAGCCAAAGGATTAATTCACTAGCCCCAGGCTTTCATTAGGTTCTTGCCCACTTCCATTTACCAGTGCAGCAGCTTTGTCCTCTCTTGGTTCTCTTCACAATTGCAGTATGGTTTCAGCAGCTCCAAACAAAATGTTCTGACATTAAAATATCCAGTGGCTTCAAGGGAAAGAAGAGTGTATCTCTTATTCGGCCTATTTTTATTTTTTATATTTATTTGTTATTTTTAAAGTAAGCTCTATGCAGGGCTTGAACTCACAACCCTGAGATCAAGAATTC